ATTTCATCATATGCAGTAAAATTATATTATTAATATAATTATCTTTTAGATTCATATTCATTTCATTGCCAAATAAGTAGACTTGTGGGCAAAATAGTGTATTGGAAATAGTTTTCTGGGCTGGCAACTCATCAAGCTGTCGACAATCTTGTTCATCTTTGGATCTACAAATGGTACCTGGGCACCTTCTCCCCCAACCATTCTAGCAGAATATCACGCCCCCACACACACACTGATTCATTCATTCAGCACTCAACAATTTTCTCTAAACTGATATCTGGTTCTTCATTATCACTAACCACTCCAGCAGAATTTGCAATCATCTCCAACTTTGCTATCTGTTCAAACAAAAACTGAGCTTGTTCATCGGGATAGATAGACATGTGATGTTTATGGAACTATATTAATGGAGCAACTTATTCTGGCATTTTACAAAGTATTTTCTGAGGGAAAAAAGTCAAAAGCCTGTTTTTTTTAATTACAAACTAAAATGATCCTTCAAAATAACTATTTTTCTTTCATCTCTAAGTAACATTAAGTTTGTATTAAAATATCTGTAGCATGTGACAATTGTGACACGCTCAGATCTGTCATGTTTTTTCTCTCTGCATCTGAATTTCAGTGGGTTGGTGAAAGTAAAATTCAATCCCACACCGGAATGGACTTGCCCAGATTATCCTAAGTCTTTATTTTTTAGTCTTTCCAAATGAATAAGAAATTGTATATATATATAGGTAGTCCTCGACTTGCGACCACAATTGAACTCAAAATTTATGTTGCTAAGTGAGAAATTTGTTAAGTGAGTTTTGCCCCATTATAGACTTTTCTTGTCACATTTGCTAACTGAATCATTGCAGATGTTAAATTAGTAACATGGGTGTTAAGTGAACTTGGTTTCCCCAATGACTTTGCTTGTCAGAAGGTTATGAAAGGACACTGCAACCATTATAAATGGGAATCAGTTTTCAAGCATCTGACTATAAATCACATGACCATGGGGATGTTGCAATGGTCATAAGTGATCATCAAAAATGGTCATAAATCAATGTTTTCAGTGGCATTGTAACTTCAAATGGTCACTAAAAGTACTGTTGAAAATCAAGAACTACCTGTAGCAAATTCTCTTTATCATGAATGAATAAAACGCCATTAAATCACTTATGTGATCATCCTAATGACCACATAGTGCACACCTATTATCCAACTAGGCTATCCTGAAAAATGGTCTTTTAGGGCCTTCACCACCAGAGGCACCTTGGGTTCTGCTTAATGACTGCAGTGGGGAGAGCAGAATTTTTGGTCATTAAGCATGGCAATCACATGGATACCTCACTTAATGACTGCCATGACACATGCTTATAATGGGCAGGTGCCATCACAGTCATAAGTCGATTATACCTGTATAATCAATTGCTACCAGTGGTGGGATTCAAAACTTTTTACTATTGGTTCTGTGGGTGTGGCTTGGTGGGTGTGGCCATGTGACTGGGTAGGTGTGGCTTTTTTGCTTTTTTTTTTTTGCTTTTTTTCAGCCACTCCCCCATCTGTTTTTTGGGTCTTCTGGGCCTCAGGCAAGCCTCCTTCTGGGCCTCATGGGAGCCTCATGGGTGAAGCAGTAAGACAAGCTAGGGGAATCCCAATTGTCGGGAGGCGAAAAAAAGAAATACTTTAAGGGGTGAGCATCAGGCAGGTGGTGTGAGTGAGCATCAGGCAGGCGGGGCAAGCGAGCCAGCAGCGATTGGGTGACTGGGTCAGGGGCGTGGCCAGCCAGAACTTACTACCGGTTTGATGACCAATGCCAAATCCTTGCTACCGGTTCGTGTGAACTGGTCTGAACCGGCTGAATACCACCAGACTGCTACACAGATTTTTATTCTTTTTCCCTAAACAAAGAAGTTTGCCCTTGTCATTATTAATTATTGTTCCATTACTTTCTGCCCATTTCTCCAAATTATCAGGTTTGTTTGAAATGTCATTAATCTCTTCTAGGGTACTTTATACCATCTGCAAATTTAATAAACTTGTCTTTTACATTCTCAGCGGATCAGGCAAGTGGAGTATGCTGTGGGTCAACTCCAAATGAGTTCCAGCTGGTCAAACCCAGAGGCATGACTTTTCTGCTGTGGCCTCCCCTCTCTGGAACATCATTTCCCCTGAGTTGAGGTTCTTCAAGAAGGCTCTTGAAACATGTTTTTTTCATCAGCCTTGGGGATCCCAATGTTCAAGGCAGCTCTATGAGATTGTAATGTTTCCTCTCCTGGTTTCTTGGGTTTTACTTGTTTGTTTTATTTAGTTTGCATGATTATTTTATGTTTATTTTATTTTGGTTTGTTTGTTTTAGATTCTTGTGGAGCTTTTAATTGTTGTGTTGTACTCAGCCCAGAGATATGTGTTTGTGGCTATATAAATATGGTAAGTAAATAAATAATAAAATATTGAAAAGTAGGTTACCTAAAATATTTTTATGGTACCACACTCACTATCTTTTTTCTAATTTGGCAAGGAGCATTGAGGGCTTGCAATCTATGTATGATTTTCAAACCATATTGTTAGGCAACCACTTGATTGCTGCACTATCCAGTATGTTTGATCTAAAAAAAAAAAGCTAAAATTAATCTGCCACAATTTGTTCTCAACAAATCACTGCCGACTCCTGGTAATTACTGCATTGTTTTCAAAGTGGGTTATACTGTAGATCCATCTCTTGATGATTGGTTCTAAATTGCTGATCTAACTCTTGATGAGTCCTAGAATCTTCCCAAGGATCAATGTCCAACTGGTTTGTAGTTTGCTATATCCTCTTTTGACCCCTTTTAACGTCATGTCTCCTCCAGTCGCTTGGCAGCATCCATTCTCCAAGAATCCTCAAATATAATAGATATAGGAGTTCAACCAGACCATCAGCTACTTCCTTTAATACCGTTCTCTAGGATATAATTTCTCTAGTCCTAAAGTTAAACTCAAAGGGATTTTTTTAAATAATGTTGCTGTCAGTCTAAAATACAAACCTTCCCTTTCATACTGCTCTTCCTATGTAGAACTCATGGTTTTGTTGAAGACTTAACTAAAACAGGAGTTAAATATCTCTTCCCCCTTCTTTGTTACTTATTAGCATTTTTTCTTCTTCATTGGGCAGCTGCTTTTTGAAGAATTGTTAAGGAATCCTGCTTTTTTAAACATCCTGCTTTTTAAACATTTTTTTGCTAATTTCAGCTAATTCTGAATTTTGGCTTTCCAGTTATCAGCACTACAGTTCTGGGCCACCTGCTCTTCCTTTATGATCTGGTTCTTTCATTTTCTGTATTTGTCTGCCCCCTCCCTCCCAAATCTTCCTTAAACTTTTTTATGTAGTCACACTGGCTTATTTTGCTGTCCTCCATTTTTGCCTCTACACTGGAACAGTTTGTGACTGTAATTTTATTGTTTTCGCCCTGCTTTTGAGCTCTTTTGCTATTAGCTTCTCTTGCCAGATGTTCTTAGTGATCCAGATTTTTTTCAAATCCACTTTTTAAATCAAATATATGTGTGCTCAGTTCATTCTGCTCAGTTTTAGTTTTCCTTAAAATCAAGAACTCAAGACATGGTCACTTAATACCAGATCTATACTGTACTGGATAATATGCTGTATTCTGTTGCTATTAATATAAAACCATGCACATTTAAAATTAAAATGACCAGATCATTATTTTTACTCATTTAACTTTCATCCTGAGAGAACCACCTTTCAAAAAAATCTTCCAGAAACAAAACGTCATGACTTGTTCAGTACTTGTTCATTATGTACATTAGGCATCTTAATAATTAATACTAATTATTTTAATGGATAATTGTGCAACGTGATCCTGTTATCTTTCTCAGCAGAAAATGCCACTGAATTTTGACACTGCCTATTAAACATGTTTAGGATTGTAAGCTGCCCAACATATTTATTCAACTCGGACTGTTTTTGGGAAAACATAGTTTTAATAATCACACCTAGGATCTGCCTGTTAGAAATTAAATCAGGTTAGGAAATGATTTCATTATACATAGGACAATAATTTCTATGACTAATAAGTCCAGGGGAAAATTTTCTGCCTTCCCAAATGTGACGACCCAAGGTGTGTGTGTGTGTGTGTGTGTGTGTGTGTAAAATAGGCAGCATAATTATTTGCTCTGCTTTAACATTTCCTCCAATCCACTTATTGATGGGTCCCTTTCCTGCAAACTTTCAATTTCCCTCTCTCGAAGAAATTTGCCTGCACGTTCCTTTAAAAACATTTTTTTAAAAAAAACGTGCGCTGCTAAACTCTAACCCCATCCTTTTCTAGTCACTCAGCAGCTCGCTTTCTCTTTTTAAAGTCTTCATTTCCAGCCTAGACTCGGGAGTGGGGGGAAGAAAAGAAGAAACTGCCCCAAAGTTCAGCGCCTTGCAGATCTGAGACGGCTCTTTTCAGCATCCAAACCAGAGGGAATCTGGCTAAAACCACACGCCAAGCATCTTTTTTCTCTCGCAGGGGCGTTTAACACCCCGGCGCCCTCCTGTTTCTCGTCCCGCTCGCTCGCCCTCAAAGCGACGAAAAGCCGCAACAGCGGGAGCGCCCAGCTGGCTGGGCAGCAGCAACAAGTGCCTCCCGCAGGGTCGACAAGAGCCCCGGGAAGGCCTTTGAAGGGCATCGCCGCTTTTCTTGTTTGGCGGGCTGGCTGGGGCTTTCCAGGTTGCCACGGGCTGATGTTGCCTGGTGCTGGCTTGAGGATGCGGATCGACAAAGACCATCCCCGCCCCCTGATAACCTTTGAACGAAGCCAGGCGGGTACAAACGTGCTTTCCTGGCATCTAGGCCCGCCAGCTTTCTTTCTCTCTCTCTCTCTCTCCCTCTACCAGTCTGCCCAAGACGGCGCAACGACGCGGGTGCCGAAAAGTGCCAATTCCCGCCTCGGTCGCCTGAGGCGCTTCTCCAACCTCCATCCATCCCCCGCCGGCGCGCAGGGGGAGAGACGCGGCTTTTCCTCACACTTACCCGGGAAATAGTCAGCGGAGTGCTAAAATCTTTCCCTCCGACCAGGCGGAACCCCCATGGCGAAGGACCGTTCAGAGCCACTGTTTGGGGCATGGCGGGGCTCTTCAAAGCCAGAAAGGAAAGCCGGACGAGGGAGCGCGCCTGGCCAGCCCGCTGAAAGCAACTCGCAAAGGGGCGCCTGCTCCGCCAACTTCTCGCCTCTCCTCTCTTCTCTTTGCCTCTGCTGCTTTCTAATCCACTTAAAGCGCCTGCTAATCTCTCCGGTTCGGCCTGACGTCTCTCGGCTTCTCCGTACAGGGGAGAGGGAGGAGGAGGAGGAGGAGGAACAGGGGGCAGAGAAAGGGAGAGGCGGGGCCCTTCCACGCTCAGGGCGGGCGGGAATCCAAATTTCTCCTTTGCCCTTCTGCACAACGAGACGTTGGGTAAGGATACTCCTTGGTTAGACTTGGGGAGGGATTTGTGGTTTTTTTGTTTGTTACAGAAACAACCTTTTCTTCCCTGCTGTTCTTTTATACCTGAGTCAATTGCTAACCAATGCTCAGTTTATCAGGAGAGAGAGGGAGGGAAGGAGAGAGGGGGGAGAGAGAGAAAGAGCTTAAACCTGAAGTTCATATGCTTTCCCCACTGAAGAGCAACTTTCTAAGGAAAGCATACAAAACCAGAAACAACAAGGAAGAACACAGGTAGACCCTGCCTTTGTTTCCTCTCCAGGTCCAGCAATCTTGGCTTACCTTTCTTTTCTCTGTACGTGGTTATGCAAGCAAGTCTCTGGTAGAGCCCCCTCTCCCAGAGGGTTTGATTGGTTTGATTTACACAATATTGTACAAATCGTTACAAGTGTTTGGAACTCTGAGAGGTTTACGGAAGAATGGAAAATAAAATGCCTCCCTCTTATTTTTTTTTATATTTTTATCTAAAATTATTATCTATTTTTAGGAGACTTTAAAACTGAGCTGAAACTAAGGAAAAATTGGACCCAGCTCCCACCCCAATATTCTGAGTAGTGTTTTTTTAGGGGGGAAGATGGAGTAAAAAATATCTGACTTCCATGTGTTGGAATTTATAGTTTCCTAGATCAGAAAGGGTCCTAAATAAGGGGACTTAGATGTTACGGATATAGCCTGGTAGACTAAATAATATAAACTTTTCCTCACTTGAACTTTCCTTACTTAAAAACTTGCTACAGCAACATGTTTTTTATGCTTTGTCCCCATGATGTTGCTTTCATCTTATCTTCGGTCCTGAATAGGATGGGTTTAGTCATCCTTAGAGGTCCTGATGTTAAAGTCACATTTCTCCTATTCCTGCACGCCTTCCTTACTCTATAATTATTCCAAGAAAACCCAAAATACAAAAAAACCCCAACCCTCTAAGAGTTCCTCATTTGGGAACTTAGAGGCAAGTTACATGATTGCAAGTTAGGTGATTAACTTACTATGTTACTTATGAGAAATTGTAGTAAAATATTTCAATAAACTTCTGAAAATAGTTTTTCCCCCCATTTTTTTTATTGTTTTCTCCTTTCTATTGTTGGAAGATTTATCCTTCTGGGTTCAGTTCCAAATGGGGAAAAAGACATTGGAAACATAGAGGCTATTTGGAAAGATGGTTTAATGGTAGACAGGACCATATAGCTTTACCTGAGTGCTGGCTGATACAGTCTTCCCAGGCTAGGTGGTGAGATGGGTAAGAGGCCTTTGTTATGTAGAATAGTGTGGCCCAGACCTTAATGGCCCACCCACTAACAAAGGTGTGGGTGAGCTTCTGTTTCTGAGGTGAGTTTCTGCTTCTGAGTTTCTACTTCCCTTTTTAGGAGAAATATTCTGCCTTTTTAATATTGCCTAGGACTGTGATGGCGTGACATGCAGAGCCCTCTCTCTGGGCACATGAGCCATCACCCACCTCAGCTTTGCCGCGCATGCACGGGGGGCGCGCACATGGGTTGCGTGAGCATGTACAGGGGTTGTGCACATATGCACAGGAGGTGCAGGGGATTGCGCATTCATGCATGGATGTGGCACATTTACAGAGCACATGCATTTCATTTTGGGGATGCACGCACACGATTCAAGCACTTGGTGCCGAAAAGGTTAGCTATCGCTGTCCTAGGATATTTCATTTTTCTAGGAGAGAGGTGGGTGCTAACATCCTACATTATGTTGGTCAGTTAAAGCCATGGATGAGTCTCTCTCTCTCTCTCTCTCTCTCTCTCTCTCTCTCTCTCCCTCTCCCTCTCTCTATATATGTGTGCACATGTGTGTGTATGTAAGTGTGTGCATGACACAATTTACAGCTTTTCATCTGTAGTGATACAGCAATGGCCCAAATTATTTTGCTGCCCCACATCACACACGAAAGTGACCCTCATACACAATGCCCTTGAAACCAGGTCATTTTCTAAGTAGTTTTGTACTTATTAAACCGCTGCAACATTCTTTTGTCTGAGATAAGACAGTTCCTATTTTTGTAATTGATCCTCTCATAACAATTAACTGTATTAATAAAGTTTACCCTCCAGCATTTCAAAAATGAAGGTAGAACATGCTTATAACAGTTCAATTTAAATTCCAAAGGTTATTGTTTGAACTTTTTCCACAACTCCACCTCCTGTATGCGTCATTATATAATTCAGTATCTGTGCTCCACCTCCTGCATTGTTTACATTTACTGCACTTGCCCTTCTTTGTTTATTCTATTACCAGTTTGGTTGGCCTTGAAAAAGAAGGCAAGGTGAAATTGTGGTTTAACCAAGACACGGTGTCTTGGAGCCAATCGTTATTTGTAAATTTTGCCAAATTGTCCTGTGAATAACAATAGGGTGAAGGAAGAAAAGAATTATATACATGGCTTTTACTTCTTTTTTAACCACATGTAGCTGCTCTCAGATTATATAAAGATTCAGTATATCAATAAAGATACAATGCATCAGGAAAAGGATCCAGGTAAAACAAGGATTAAATTAATTACAAGTTTAAAGATGGAGGGAGACCTTCATGGCACCAACTACACCCCTCTGTGACACCCATGCAAGTTGGCAAAGCCAGGTCTTCAGACTGTTTCGAAAGGCCAGGAGAAGGGGAGGGGCTGTCCCATCTTTGGGGTGGATATTCCAGGAGATAGGGAAGACAGCACAAAAGGCTCTCTTCCTGAACCTGGATAAAGTCAAACTTCTTTAATTGATGGGGGTCTGTAGCATGCCTTCTCTGTCTGACTGGATGGGATGGGCTAATGTGATGGGGTTAAGGTGGTACCTTGAATAATGTGGGTCCCACAGCATAATCAATATCTTGAACTAAACCTGGAAGCAAATTTTCTCCCAATGCAGTGAAGTTATTTATTTATTTATTTACGTTTCATGTTCCTAAACTATCTGTCTCCTTCAGGGTATTACGTGTGCCATTCTTGGGATGCCCAAAATTGTTTGCACAGCCAAATTCTGTACCAATTGAAAATTCCAAATACTCTTCAAGGGTAGCCCCATGTAGGCTGCATTGTAATACTCCAGACAAGAGTATTGAAAGGAGGGTCTATTGTATTTATTTAAAAAAAAAAAATCCTAACTTTTTAAAATCATTTTTTAAAAAAGTCCTAACATGAAAAATGGCCTGTTGAATATCTCATGATTTCTTCATAGAAGTAAATATGCTGTAGAAAATATATTGATATACACTATCAACAATCCACTCCCATTTATTTAAGGGGTTAAATTTACAGAGAATCATAAGGACACTTATGTGGAAGATGATGAATTGGATATGTTTGTTTCCTTCAATTATTTGTAACAATAATAAAAAGTGATATATATAGATATGTAAAATGTCAAGTTGTCTCCTCCTTTAACCCATTCACCATTTGTGTGGTAAATACCAATAAATATTTTCTTTCTCCAACTCTCTGTCAGCATTATAAAAAGTACAAAAATGCTGAAATCCAAAACTCTTGTTGCTGCTGTTTGATTTTCCTCCTCTGTTGAAAAGATGGGAGGAGAACATAATATGCTGAAATGGGTGGTTCAGTGGGTGGAGTAGTTTTGATTCTGACATCACCAGCTATTATTTGCTTACCTAGAAACATAGGTGAAGTGAGTAGCTCCATGGGTTAGCAATGCATACTCAGATTGGAATGCTTTAGCCATATGTACAAGCTGTACCGGACATATAATAGTTCGCAGAGCTGAACAATATTCCATTGCTTAGCACACTCCTTGCACACATTCTTTCTTTAAGAGTCTGAGGAATTGCTTGCTTGTTTACTTCACCTCTAACATGCTGCTGCTAAGCCAACAGGCTGTGGTCTGGCCAAGTTTCACTATAGCATAATGTCAATCATCTCTCAACCCAGCCAATGGCATGGAGTCCTTGCTGGCAGTGAAGTTGTTGTTTTTTTTCCCTTCCCTAGTCCTGGAGTAAATTGCTGGCTTCAATCCAAACAATCCAAAGAAAGCTACCCATTATCAAAAAAAAATTCTCAATCAGGTCAGCAGGTAGCTTTATCTGCAACATGTCCTTGTTCAAACAATAGACAGCCAGGCAAACACATAGAATGTGCTGTGAGCTAGCTGCAATAGACAAGGAAGGCATGCTCATGCCATTTCCCCCATCTTTACTTGAGCCAAGAGGGAGGGTGTGCTCATACTACTATGATTCTACCTTGTACTGCATATTTCTACAAACACTTAAAAACTCATTTAGCCACTTTAAACCTGTATGGCTTGGCTTGGCTAGATCAAATAGGTTGCTGGATCTGATATGCATATAGTTCTACTTGGAAGTCAGTGTGCGAAGAAATGACAACTGTTCAAATTTCTTGTCCATTACTTCAGTGGGAGATTTCCTTTGATCAGATTGCTATTCGGGTAGGCAAATGGTCCATCCTTGCTCTGATTGTACAGGATAGGTGGTTTTCAGACTTTACTGTGAAAACAAGTGAGTCAACATAATACAACTGTATATATTAGTTGAATGTTTTTTCATATGTTAGCCAACTTCTCTGGAATAATGGAGAACACAGCTTGACTTTCACTGCATGAGAACCTTTCAGATATTGGAAGAATGCTACCAAGTTACTCTTAACATTTTCTTCTCAAGGCTAAACATTTGCTATTCCTTCACTCATATTTCATAAGATTTAATTAATTCCCCTAATCACCCCCATTCCCTTTCTTTGAAGTTATTCTGCTTTGTCTGAATCTTTTGTAAAATGTGGATGGAGTGCAAAGGAGAATCAAAAGGTAGTGGAGTACCTATGACTTTTCACATCCTCATCACTCTTGCAGAAAATATGCCCCATATTTTTTGTCTCATCAGTTTTTCCATATGGAGAGAAATAAAGAGATTTCTTTAAAAAAAAAGATTTTGTGGTTTGTGGAGCATAGTAATACATAAAATTCTCAGTGTTTGCATGTTTTTGAACCACATTTTCCACCGGTAGTCATCCTTACTTTTATTACTGTCTTTTTAAAGGCAACTTTCTTATTGATTTGGGATGCAGTACAATATGCATGTTATTTACAAAATTAAAAATAAAATAGAAAAAGGATAAAAGATATATTTAAAATATCTGGGGATATAGCTAGAAAGCAGTTATCTAGCTAAAGCTTCCTTCAGTAGCCTCCCTTGATGGCAGCCTCCTTTTTTTCTCCTGTTCATGTGCTTTTTTGGTGATGGTTCAGAAGTGATTTACCACTGCTGCCTTCCAGGATATTTTTTTGCTATTCTATTTTTTGCCTATAGCTCTTTAATTTGCTAGTGATCTACCCTTCAAAAGAAAACTATTTTTAACCCTGCTTAATTTATGAGCCCAGACCAGGTTCACCATTTAATTCCAACTGTTAAGAGATTAAGTATGTAACTGAAATGTATACAATTATAAGCAAATTATCTAAGCTTTTTAAAATTCACTGGGACTTACTCCCAAATAAGTATGCACCAAATTGCATCTTTAATACATGTATGTACAATATATTTAACTCAATATATGGCTGACCATCTGAAGTAAATGGCCCTGGGTTAACAATAATTTTTTAAACCAGCAAAAAGCCAACCCAAAATATAAAATAGGCATTCACTAGCCAAGATTAAAAGAACCAGACAAAATCCCCTATCCATCTAAATGCAACATTTTGAGTTGTGGTCGTGCAATGGTTGGAATGCAGTATTGCAGGCTAATTCTTCCGATTGCCAGCAGTTCGATTCACATCTGCTCAAGGTTGACTCAGCCTTTCCCCCTTCTGAGGTCAATAAAATGATGACCCAGATTTTTGCTGATTCTGTAAACCACTTGGAGAGGGCTGTAAAGCACTACAAAGTGGTATATAAGTCTAAGTGCTGTTGCTCTTTCATTAAACTTCATTCATGAGCTAGGGTTGAGTTGAAGCATGTTTACCCCATCTAAGTCCCCATCAGACACCAAGATAGCACCTCCACAGTATCACTTCAATGGCCTGGGGTGAAGGTATATAGCTGTGTATCATTGACATGTTTTCAGTTTAGCTCCGTTTTATACATTCAGTCACTACAACATTTGCCTCTAGTTTTTGAAAACAAATTCTTATATTTTGTATTCCATCCTGCAATCTAACTGTGATTGTTTTCCAATATTAGATGCGGCATCATCCGCCAGCAATACCCTTCTAGATTCTATATATGATAAACAGAACAACCTTTGCCCCAAAGAACAAATGAATACAATTTTGACATCAGGACTCAAAATAAGGACAAAGTAATGTCAGAGCATTTCAACCTCCCAGGACGCTCTATCGCAGATCTCTAAGTAACTCTCTTGGTAAAATGGGTTTTTTTAAAAAACTCTACCACTGAATGGGAAAGTGTTGAATTCACATACATCAAAAGATTTGAGGCAGTTTTAGAAGTTCACAAACACAGTGGGGTTTTAACATATTACAATTGTTTATTGATAAGGTATTTATAATCTGTCTCACCTATAATCTGCACCTACATAAACAACCTGTCTTCCCCTCCCTTCTCCCCCCACCTCACCCAATTTGGATACTATATCTGTCTAGCTAGTTTATGCATCTGATGAGATGGACTACAGCTCTTGAAAGCTGATGTCTTTCAATAAAATTTATTAGTCAGAAAAGTGCTACCAGACATTAGATTTTCTGACACTATATGGTTTTCCTCTTATATTATTTTCTCCCCCAATAATTTTGGGTTCCCATTCCTTTGTTACCATAGCCTGCCCAGTCTCCTTAATTTCTTTTCATCTGTTCTTGAATAGCCTGGGCTCAATTCAAAAATGAAATTCATGCTGTATTTTTGAGGCCAACTATTTCTAATTGTTATTCACATGCTAAGCTGAAGGTTTTCTTCTTATTCCCAGGCCCATGACTCAACATTTCCTCTAATGATAGTGATTCAGTGGAGAAATTCAAACTGAGAGGTGTTGTCTAAAATAACAAGAAACTCTTCTTCTCCCCAAATAATTTCCAGGTAGTCAATCTGGTCCTTCATCAGAATTATAGGATTGCAGGTCAGCCACAACCCTCTGAGATGACACAACAGTGATTGGTCTCATTCGAGACAACGATGAATCTGCATACAGACAGGAGGTTATACAACTTGCCTCATGGTGTAACTGGAACAATCTGGAACTGAACACACTCAAAACCATAGAAATGGTGGTAGACTTTAGAAGAAACCCTCCTATACTACCACCTCTTACAATACTAGACAACACAGTATCAACAGTAGAGACCTTCAAATTTCTAGGTTCTACTATATCACATGACCTAAAATGGACATCTAACATGAAAAACATCATCAAAAAAGCACAACAAAGAATGTTCTTTCTGCACCAACTCAGTAAGCTCAAACTGCCCAAGGAGCTGCTGATACAGTTCTACAGAGGAATTATTGAGTCTATCATCTGCACCTCTATAACTGTCTGGTTTGGTTTTGCAACCCAACAGGACAGACACAGACTTCAGAGGGTAATTAGGACTGCAGAAAAAACAATTACTACCCATCTGCCTTCAATTGAGGACCTGTATACTGCACGAGTCAGAAGAGGTCTGTGAAAATATTTACAGACCTCTCTCATCCTGGACATAAACTGTTTCAACTCCTTCCCTCAAAATGACGCTATAGAGCCCTGCACACCAGAACAACTAGACACCAGAACAGTTTTTTCCCGAAAGCCATCACTCTGCTAAACAAAAATAATTCTCTCAACACTGTTCAACTATTTACAAAGCGTACACTACTATTACTGTTAATCTTCTCATCACTCCTTATCACCCATCCCCTCCTACTTGTGATTGTAGGACTGTAACTTTGTTGCTTGTATCCTTACAATTTATATTGATTGTTTCCTAGTATGATTTGATTGTTGATTGTACCCTATGACTATCATTAAGTGTTGTACATTATGATTCTTGATTCTTAACTAATGCACCTGTTCTTTATGTATACTGAGAGTATTTACACCAAGACAAATTCCTTGTGTTTCCAATCACACTTGGCCAATAAAGTATTCTATCTATCTATCTATCTATCTATCTATCTATCTATCTATCTATCT